TAAAAAGTCATCTGGCCAATGGAGGATGCTACAGGACCTCCACAAGATCAACGCCAGAATGACCCTAGAGGGAGTCCCCTTGAGGGGACTGCCCTGGATACCCGCTATCCCCTCAGATCTATTTCTCATAGTTATAGATATCAAAGACTGCTTTTTCTCTATCCCCCTACAACCCCAAGATTGCGAGAAGTTTGCCTTCTCTTTGCCTTCCATCAACTTTAGCATGCCTTATGAAAGGTACGAATGGACAGTCTTGCCCCAAGTCATGGCCAATAGCCCAGCTTTCTGTCAGAGCTTCATAAGGGCTCTCTTGAGTCCAACAGAGTCTTTGCCACATGCTACTGTATATGCCTACATGGATGATCTAATTTTGGGGGGCACCAAATTTCCACCAATTGCAGGAATTATATGAGGTCACCCAAAATGCCTCCAGGCAGGAGGGCTTCAAGTGTCCACAGACAAGATACAGACTGTCACCCCCTTTAAGATTCTGGGGACTACATTGTCCATGGAAGGTGTAAGTCCCTTAAAGCCACAACTGACTATTAAACCTAATATGACCCTGACAGAACTTCAAAAACTATTGAGGGAGATCAATTGGCTAAAATCCTGGATGCCCATCTCCACTGAGACACTGGAGCCCCCATTCCAATTGTTGGTAGGCAAACAGCCATCAGAGCTAATCCATCTGAACCCACAACACCTAGACATTTTACAGGGGGTCCAGGAGGTCCTGGACCAAGCCCAACTGGCCCGCTATATGCCTGGAAAGGATCTCGAACTATGGGTGCTCCTGGAGAGGCCCTGATGACATCCGTTCTCACACAATGGGGGAGGCCCCTCCAATGGGTGCATACCTCCCTAGGGGCCACTCCACGGGTGTATACACCCGCGGGCCAGTTGGCTGACCTAATTGAGAAAGGACGGGATATAGCCCTGAGACATTATGGCATTGACCCCCACAAGATTATTATCCTTTATTGGCTAAAGGACTTTGAATGGCTCTGCAGAAACAATAGTCGAATGGCCATAGCCTTGGAGGGCTTTCTGGGAAAGTTGGACTGTCATTATGGCCCTCACAAATAGGTAACCTCCTTTTGCACCCTCCACTGGAGGGCCCCCAGGCTTTTTGTCAAAAACCCTCTGACAGAGGCGTATAATGTGTTTACTGATGGAGGAAAATTCGGAGCCACTGTAGTAATTTACCCAGTGGTAGGAACAGAACTAAAAACATATGTTCACACTTGCAAGGGCTCCGCTCAATTTAAAGAACTCATGGCCATTGCCCTAGCCTTGTCCAAAGTAGATGACCCCATGAACTTGTTCTCTGACAGCCTATATGTAGTCAACCTTCTCCCGGGATTATTAAATTCTCATATTCGGCTAGATGATAACCCTATTACCCCCCTAATGATCCAGGTTTGAGCATTGTTAACAGAAAAAACGGCCCCCATTTTCTTACAACACCTTAGGAGCCACCAAGGACTGCCTGGGTTCCTCTCCCAGGGCAATGCAAAGGCAGACAAAATGGCTTCTACCCATATCCTATCAGCAGGCCTGGAGAAAGCTCAACAACTGCATAATCATACCCATGTAAATT